CCACTGTGTCTTCTACGGAAGATCAGTGATACTTAATTCACTGGTGTCTGCACGAGGAGACCTGCAGGAAGATTTTTTTTTTTTTTCCCCAACAGAAATATTAACATTTTAATTGATTTGATTTGATACTTTGATTAGCTGTCCTTGAGAGAGATGAAGAATACCGTGGGTATAAATGCCCGACTTTTGTCCCTGTCTTCTCTATCTGTCTGTCTGTCCTTCTCTGTCCCCTGTGCATGGAAAATCAGCAGCAGAGCACCCAATTGCTTCAGTATAAGGAGGCAACCCCCCAATTCTGCCCCTCCCGACACCCCCTACACCCCCCCCCCCATTAGCCCTCCTGACTTCCAGGGACCGACACCCACGGGAGCAAAGCCTGCAGCCACGGGGGGGCTCGGCCCCCCACAGTATCCTCCTCCTGCGTGGCTGCAAACCGAAACGTAAATCCGAAGGAAAACCGGGTTTACTCACGCGTTGCACTGGGAAAAGCCGGGGTATCTCAGCCGCCCCCAAATATCCCGGGGCAGGTCCTGCCGCGCTGTGAGGCTCTGGCTGTATCTGTCTTTGCCTACTGACCTCCGGGGATGGGGGGGTGGGGGGTGTTTTGGTCTGTCTCTGCCCCTCGTCTGTCAGTAACGCACATGCAATACGCAGAAATAATATTTTTATTCATTTGCATGATAATATTTTTTTTTTTGCTTTTTATGGGGTTTACAGAGATGGAAAAATTTAAATTAGTATTATTTTATTTAGGAAGTATCGTGTCATAAAATTGATGGGCAAGTGTGTGACCCTACGTGTAGCAAGTACATAAAAATAGTGATATATCCCCCCGAGCCATAGTTTATCAACCCTGCCGTGTAGTAATGTATAGTGCAATCTGTTGTTGAAAAAAATGCATAAATTAAAAAGTTCGTTTATAAATCAGCACCAAAATATCTCTAATAAGATTACATTACATAAATTATTCTTTTAAAAGTCCATACCTTACTTTATTATTTTCTATTTATTCAAATGGGCTTTGAAAAACGAATAAAAAGCAAATCGAATGAACTTTAAAAAATTATTTTCTATTCAAGTTTTCTGTTTGTTTATAAAGTAACGCCTGCTCTTTAGATCCAACACAACAATATAAAGACAACGTTTAAAGGCTTCCAGAGTGACAGCACCATGCACTGTACTAATAATATAGTATCTCTATGAACTATATATATATATATCAGCACCAACACACCGCACGGAGGACATGCAGGAAGAGTCTGTTTCACATTACATCGTTCATTCAAGTAAGCTGAAAATATAATGATTTTTTTTTTTGTACAAACCACAGCATCATAAACAACAATCTATCACCAAAATTAATAAGAGAAATCTTTGGTGTGCTCTGTACTCTTCCAGGAAAAAAAAAAAAAAAAAAAAAAAAAAGGAAGGAAAAAAAAAAAAAAAAGAAAGAAGAAGAAAAAGAAGAAAAAAAAAAGATGATGTCAGAAAATAAATTAATTCGACTGTACAAAATAATCGCGTTCACATACACGTTATTAACAATGACAAGACGACATCCACCATTCACGGCACACAAAACACATTTCCACAAGCCCTGGGGGAGGGGAGGGAGGCTGCCGCTTCTCCTCTCGGGGTCTCTGAGGAGGAATTAGTGCTCTTTAGTTTATTTGCGCCCCGCTCCTGACGGGCGATGGGCCGGGGTGTGTCGTCCCCCCCCTCTGCCCCGCAGCCCCTCGGCCGCCGGGCTGGGCTGCTGGGGGCGGGGGGGAGGAAGGTGGGGGGGTGTGAGAGTGGGCACCCCGACCCCAACCCGCTCCCCCCATCCCCCCTTTTCTTTCCCACCAGCTCGGGTCCCCTCCTCCCAGGTGACTCTGCCCGGCCACCCCCGGGGGGATAGTGAAAAGCAAGGGTGCGCGTAGGCACCGGCTCGGCTGGAGAGAGAAAATAAACCTTATATATATATATATATATATATATAAATGATAATCAAAAAATAAAACCTCCGCGCCCCCCCTCCAGCGCTCGCGGGGCCTGGGGGGCTGCTTCCCCCCCCAAGTGGCTGCACACGGGGCTGGATGGAGCAAGAGGTAAAGTCTTCCTCTCCAAGCCGAACTTTCCAAAAATCACAAATAATAACCAGAGTAACAATAATACCAACCCCAAGAAAAAGCAAGATCGCTGTCAGATTTCGTGTGTTTAGGAAAGAAAAAAAAAAAAAAAAAAAAAAAAAAAGAAATGTATCACAATATCACAGTTGTCAAATAGCAGCGGGTTTCTTTTATTCTCTGGCTACGTTTTAGGAGCCATACGCGTACAAACCGTGGAGGAACGGTAAGGCAGTGCTGCATCTTTTGTCTTTCCTTCCCTAAATCGTTTTCACGAGGTTACGGCTAAGGGAGGAAGAAAGAGGGCTGGAGGGAAAATACCGGGTGCGGCTGGGACCCCACGACTCGGGAGAGAAACCAACAGTTACAAAGGAGCTGAACTGCGAGAAGGGTGGGAAGAAATGCATTTATTTCATTTTATTTCAAGGGATGCGTAACCTGTCCTCGACTGGCCGGAGCTTCAGCAGGTGCTGCTTTACAGTCAGGAGGCCGCTGCAACCCCGGGGCTTTACCCAGGCTGAAGAGGAGGTGCTGGGGTGGCAGCTGAAGTATTTCAGAGCCACCTCAGGGAACGGCGGGGCTCTGCCAGTTCGCAGCCTTCCCCCCGGCTCCTTCTCTTGTCACGAGCAGCGTGGCGTGGGTAGGGTGGGAGCCGGGTGGGAGGGGGGAGTCCTCTGCGGCCCGGGCATCTCCCTTGGCACCGTCCCCCTGCAAAGCGTGAGGCTCGGGTGGCTGAGGTGGCCCAGCGTGGCGTTATTAATGGTTTTTCTTACCAAAAGAAAAAATGAAAGAAAAAAAAAAAAAAAAAAAAAAAAAAAAGAAGGTCCGAGTCTCTTTAATTAAATTAGTTACCGTACAAACACCATAGGGTTTCGTACACGGAATAAATAGCGCGAGTCAAACCTGACGGCACTTCCACGCCAGCCTCCCCCCTGTGCCAGGCGGATGTGACACGCCACGGCCACGCCACGGCCACACGCCACGGCACGGCTCGGCCCGGCCCTAGGGAGCGGCTCTGCCCCCCGAGGTCCTGTGGGGCTCATCCCCCTCGGAGGCCGGGGAGGTGTCGCGGCTGGAGGGGGTGCGGGGCCGGCGGGGACCCCCCCCGGCCTGGCAGACGTACCACTCGCTGAGGTTGGTGACCGGCGGGGAGAGGGCGGCGGCGCGGCCGCGGGGGGGTTCGGCGGCCGGGTCGGCCTCGGGGGGCAGGGGGCCGTCGGGGGGCCCCGCCGCCGCGTAGCCCTGGGAGCCCGGCGGCGGGGAGGGCGGCGGGGACTTGCAGTGGATCTTCATGTGCTTCCGCAGGGAGCTGGGGTGCGTGTAGGACTTGTCGCAGCCGCGGATCTTGCAGTAGTAGGGCTTGTCGGAGGTGTGGACGTGGGAGTGCTTCTTGCGGTCGCTGCTGTTGGCGAACTTCCTCTCGCAGCCGTCGAACTCGCACTTGAAGGGCTTCTCCCCTGCCGGGACACACCAACGGCACCGTTACCGGCGGGAGGGGGGCGCACGGCCCTGCCCGGCCCCTCCGCCCCGCAGCGCGGCCTCGGGGGGCGAGCACCAGGGCAAAGCCTCCCCTTCCCTCCTTCCCCTCCTCTTTCCCCCTTTCCCTCCCTCCCCGACAGTCGGGACATATCCCGCCGCTTCCCCCCCCCCCCCCCGTGTTTTGCAAACTGGGAGGTGTCGCTGGCCGGTCTCCGAGCCCGGAGCCCCAGGCTGGCGGCGGGGCCCGGCCTTGTTTGCCCTCCTCGCCGCTCCCCTCGCACACGAGAAACCTTCATTACCGCCTCTAATGACCGAGCCCAAACAAAACCTCTCAATGCCTTCGCCTCCGAGGGCTGGCGTTCGCCGGCAGCCCGGCTCGCCTGGCACATCTCCTGCGTAATCCTTTCCCAATGGGGCACTGTGCTGGGGGAGTAATTAGAGGGGGGGGGGGGGGGGGGGGGGGCGCGGGAATCAAAGTAACACCTGTTTAAGCTTCCCCAAATAAAGAGGAAGCACCCAAGGAGCCCCGCACTGGGAACCTGCAGGCTGGGGAACACACACACCTCGGTGATGACAGAGGTTACCCCAGGCTAATTTGGGTCTAAAAATCTCCGGCCGACCTATTTTAAGAGCTTTACGCATTGCTTAACAGTTAAAGAGGTTGTGAAAATCAGCCCGGGGCGGGTTTGCCTGGCGTACCTTTGACACACATACACCCCTCCTTACACCCCCCCCCCCCCGGTTCCTGACATACCATACCCTGGGACATATATGTTCTGGTACCTATAGCAGTGCCTCGGAGCGACCCTTCCCCACAGATCCCCACCAGGGCTGAGCAAGTCCCTATCGCTGAGAGACCAGGGAATAAAATGTGCCCGATCCCTCTACTGCACACGGGCGGGAGTTTCTTACAGCAACTTTTCCTTTCCCTGCCATGCTACACGTGAGCCCGGCGCGGACAGAGCTGCACGGATAATCCTTGTCAAGACTATCGCGACACTGGAGTTAAAAACGTTATCGGTTCAGGCATGGCTGATGGGTGTTTTCAGATCCGTTTTGCTCTGAACGCTCAGAAATAACAACCCAGCAGCTCTCTCGGTGGATATTTTCTAATTTTCGACTGTCGTTTCCGTTTGGAAAAGCGTCTCACGTTTAGCAAAATAATAACGGAAAAAGACAACGATTTTTATTTTTAAAAACTAGTTATTTCTCGGCTGTTACTATAGAAACATATGCCTCCGCAGCCTATTTACGCGTCAACTTTTTCAATTAAAATCCGCTCACCTACCAGCGAAGTGATAGCACTAGAAAGAGCAAGTTTAACCTTTAAAAAGAAAAAAAAAAAAAAAAAAAAAGATGGTAAGAAAATGTATCTCGTGGGTTTTAAGTGGAGTTTTCACGTGCACAGAAACCCCCGCACGCTCCCACTCCCACCGAGACAAATCTCGAGTCACTTCGTTTATTCATTAATTTTATTTTTCGTTCTTTTTTTTTTTTTTTTTTTTTTTTCTGGAGAAACACGGCGGATCTACCGGAGAGTTTGGCCGGGTTATATCTGTATTACCCCAAGGATGTAGCCCCCCTGAGAGATGCTTCGACTCGGCGGACCAAACCGCGTCCGAGCCCACACACACACCCCCTGCCCCCGTCGGGGCTTTAGGGAAATGTCTTTCCCTGTGGGCTCACGCGTGGGCACCCTCCCGGGGGCTGAGCACCCCTCGAGGGGACGGGGGAAAGGGTCCGTCCCCTCGAGGGGTGCACAAGCCCCGGCTGGCTCCTCCTCGCCAACGGCGGGATCGCGACGATCCAATTCCACAGAAATCCAGGAGCGGGGAAGGTCCCGGGGTGTCCCTGGCACGCTGACGAGGGCGTCACGTCAGAGTTTAACCATTTGTAGGTGGTTTCAACCCAAGGAAGGGGGCGAGATCCCGGGCGCCGTCCCCTGACTCCTCCCGGCAGCAGCAGTGCCGGCAGCGGGAGGGGCACGAAGGGGCTTTGGGGTCACTCTTTTTTTTTGGGGGGGGGGGGGGGGGGGGGGGGGGGAGGGGGGAAGAGAAGGGGGTGGGAATCGTCGCGGGGAAGCCTGACGATCCCGAGCACCGTCCCCGGTGAGGGGGCAGCGATTTTGCGGGGGGAGGTACACGGCCCGCTAGCCCGTTCCCGTTAGGAGTCACAAGGGATGGGGACAGCGATTTGTCCCCAAAATGGGGCTGGAGCCGCAGGGCACGGTGTGCAGCTCCCGGAGTGATGCTTTCGAGGAAAAGGGGTGAAAAACTCAAGCAAGCAAACGGCTCCTGAATTACCGACATACTCTTCTTCCTGCAGGATTACCAGGAACACGTAAAATCCCCTAATGATACAATTACAGTGTTATTATGTCCTCCCCCCTCCCCCCCCCAAATGCCCATCATAAACGAATAGTTTGTAAATCTCTCCTGCTTCCAGGCTGCCCATGACTAATTTAAAGCTGAGGTGGAAAAATTACGGTAATTAATCTGGTAGGGACAGGCAGAAGTTTTGAGATCCCTCATCCACCCGAAGGCTGTGCGTGGGAGAGTCACGTCCCTTTCGCCCTCCCGTGGGCTGAGCTGTCATTCGAGGGGGGCTATTGCCCCCAACCCGAGCCCCGAGGGCTGCTTTGTTGCAACGGCCCCTTCGGTGTGGAGATAGCTTTCCCACGCGGGCCCACGTTTGGGAACCCTCCCGGGGACTGTGTGGGGAAGAAGGGGATCCCCGGCTGCAAACTCCTCCAAATTTCCTTTGCAAGGGGCCGTGTCCCACGCAGGGCCTCGGAGCAACCCTTGATCGCAGCTCAGAGCTGCAAACTGTGCCCGACACATATTTAGGGGGGCTCCTTTTCCCTCTGAATCCCTCTGCTCCCTCTCCACCCCCACCCCCCCCCCCCAAGCTTCCCCCCGACTCGCTCTTTTCCCTCCTGTGGAGCTGGGATGGAGAAAGAGTTGAGGAGCCCAGAAAGGTCCGCGGTGAAGTTTTGTTTTCCAAATCCAAACAGATGGGGAAGGCTAGATGACAAAAACACGGGCCTCCAGCATTTAACTCATTCCGCGGTGCCATTAACACAACAACAACAAGCACCTCTCCAAAAATGTGTCAGCCTCCTCGCAGGAGAAATTCTGCCCCCCCCTCCGTTCCCCCCCCTCCCCCGGTCTGGGCGCAGAGAGCTGGGCATCCTCAGGTCTCGGCAGCTACATATACGGGCTCACGTTTGACATATTCTGGAGATAAAAATCTATAATCCTTTCCGCCATGGGCCATTTGGTTTTACATCGGAACAACACGTTGCACGGTCGCCGCTTTTCTCTTCCCGAGCAGCACACAATAAATCAAGAAAGCAATTACGGCAACTCCACTTCCTTAAGTGTCCTCCGAGGAATAATATTTGTCTACCACTATAAATCCCGGCTTCGTTCGTTTTCGGCAGAGATTTTACACCCGGATCGAAATGCGGATTTCGGGGGTGGCGAGGAAGGAGGAGAAAGAGGTGAAGGAAAAAAAAAAAAAAAAAAAAAAAAAAAAAAGAAAAAAGAAGAGGAAAAAAAAAAAAAAAAAAGAGAGAGAAAAGACTCAAAGGTTCAAACGCACCCCGAGCTCCTCCGGGAGCGCCTCGCCGGGCCCGACCTGTCCCCCAGGGCACCCCCGGGGGTGCCGCTCCCCCCTCCCGTAGCTCCCGCTCCTCCAAGCCCCGCCGGGCAACCGGGGCTGCTTGAAAGTTTCCTCCTCAAATCCACAAAGAGAGGGAAGCATCCCCCTCCCTGCGCCCTCCTCCCGGCTCCGCGGGAGCCGCCCGGGCAGCCCCGGGAGCGGGGTCAGTCCCGGTAGCTCCGGTAGCAGCGGCGGCGGGGGTAGTATCGCTAGCCCCGGGACATGTTGGGGGGGGGGGGCACAGCCCGTAGCAGCATCGGTAATCCCGGTAGCGGGGCAGAGCCCGGTAGCCCCGGGCGTCGCCGCCGCCCGCAGCGCAGGGGAACTGCGCCCCCAAGAGCCCCCGTGTCCCCATCTCCGTCGGGCCAAGCACCCCCCGCCCGGCTCCGTCCCAACCGGCAGGAAAAGCAGAACCGCCGTCTTGCCTTTCTGGGGGGGGGGAGGGGGCGGGGGGGGAGGGCGCTCTGCTCTCCCCAGGCGCGGGGTGAACCCCTCCGGGGTACCCCTTGAGCTCAACCACCCCCCCCGCTCTTCCGCTGGGGCTGCTTATCTTCCCTCCCCCCCCCCTCCTCCTCCCCGGGCTCCGCGTTATTTATTAATCGGTGTATTTATCCGGTGGTGCGGGGAGGTGGGTGGCGGAGGGGGTGGGGAGGGCGCTGCCCAAGGTGCGGGGGGGTGGGGGACACACACACACACACACGACACGGCAACGACACGGGACACGTGTGTGCAGGGCAGAGGGGCCGGGTGCGTGTGCGTGGCGGTGTGTGCGTGGCCCGTGTGCTGCCGAATTACTTATTCATGAAAAAGTCACATGTCCGGCGGTGAGTAGGAGAGGAGGAAAAGAGGTGGAAAAGGTTAAAAAAAAATTTAAAAATAATAATAATAATTAAAAAAAAAAAAAAAGAAATAAAGGAAAAAGAAGAAACTCCTTACAGAGGTGGAGGGGCGGGGGCGGGGGGGGGGAGGGGGAGCACCCACCTGTATGAGTCCGCTTGTGAATCTTGAGGTTTTCGGAGCGGGCGAAGACCTTCCCGCAGCCGGGGAAGGGGCAGGGGAAGGGCTTCTCTCCCGTGTGCACTCGGATGTGGTTGATGAGTTTGTATTTCGCTTTGAAGGGCTTGCCTTCGCGGGGACACTCCTCCCAGTAGCACACGTGGCTGCTCTGCTCGGGCCCGCCGACGTGCTCCACGGTGACATGGCTCACCAGCTCCTGCATTGTGCTGAAAGTTTTGGAGCAAGGCTTCTTCCCGCCCGGCGGCGGCGGCGGCGGCGGCGGGGGCGGAGGAGGCGGCTCCCGGTCGATCCACTTGCAGATCAGCTCTTGCTTGATGGGCTGCCGCATGTACCGCAGGAAGGCCCCGGCCGCCGCCGCCGCCGCCGCCGCCGCCGCCGCCGCCCCGACGTGGGCATGGTGGTGGTGGTGGTGGTGGTGGTGGTGGTGGTGGTGGTGGTGGGGATGGGGGTGGTGCGGGTGTCCGTGACCGGCCGCCGCCGCCAGGTTGAGGTTGACGGAGCCGTAGCCTTGCAGCGCCGAGGAAGAGGAGGAGGAGGAGGAGGAGGAGGAGGAGGAGGAGGAGGAGGAGGAGGAGGCGGCCTCGTAGTGCGCCTCGGCGCGCCCGTGCAGCTCCCCGGCGGCGGCCGCCAGCCCCAGGCGCATCTGCCCGTTGAGCGGCGGGTGGCGGCCGGGCTCACCGGGCGGCGGCGGGAAGGCGTCGTGCGCCCCGTCGGCCGCGCCGTAGGTGCCGGCGGCCGAGATGAAGACGCCGTGGGGCGGCGGGTGCGGGAGGTGGGGGGAGCCGGCGGGAGGGTGCTGCTCGCCCAGCGCCCCGTGAACGGCGGCGGCGGCGGCGGGGGCGGGGGGCAGCTCCCGCCGCAGGAGGAAGTCCCGGCCCGCCGCCCCCCCCGACGGGTAGCCCGGGAGGGCGGCGGCGGGCGGCGCGTAGGCGGCGGCGGTGGTGGCGGCGGTGGCGGCGGCGGCGGCGGCGGCGGCGGCGGCGGTGGTGGCGGCGGGCGCGGCGAAGGCGGCGGCGGCGGCGGTGAGCGCCTCGGGCGTGAGCTTGAGGGCGGCCGGCTGCGCCATGTGCTCGGGTCCGAGCGGCGTGAGGGCGCCGCCGGGGTCGCCGCCCGCGTCCCCCGGGTGGAGGTGGGCCGCGTGGTGGGGGTGGACGTGGTGGTTCCCCAGCCCCGGGAAGCCTGTCATGTTCTGGTGAGGATGGGGCTGAGCCGCTGCCAAATCCGCTAATCTCAGTGTCGGGTTCCTCTTGCTCAAAGGGGGCTCCATAACGACACAGCCAAGCCCATCTACGCTCGCTGTTGTTATTTTTTTCCCTCTACCCGCCTTCAAAAACATGTATATATTAAGCGGCTCTTTAACTTCTTTTGTCTGCGCTCCGAGCCCCGCGCGTCCGCGGCCCCGCTCTGCCCGCCCGCGATTGGCAGAGCCCTCACCACACTTCAGCGGCGCGGTGGGGAAGACGGCTCGGACACGGCACCGCGGGGATTGGACGGATCCCGATGATTGGCAGCGGCTGGGGCCGCGCGATTGGCTCCCGTTCAGGCCGCCGGCGCAGCGGGGATCCGCCCCCCCCCGCCACTCTCCCACCCCCCCCCCCCCCTCCACGCACACACACCACACCCCCACCCGCGGCCGCCCCCCGAAGTTGCACTTGCAAAAAACTTCGCGCGGGGCCCGACGGGGCGCACAGCCGCCCCCCCCGGCGCTGGATGTGGAGCTGCTTCGCCGTGTTTACGTTTGCGGGACCGCGGGGTTTCTCTTCTCTCGCCTCGGAGCAACCCACGCGCGGCGCTGCTGCCGGGGGCTCCGCGCTCGGCTTGTATTTTTTTTTTTTTTTTTTTTTTTTTGGGAGGGCCGTCATTCATTCATCGATAAGGCGGGAAAGCGCGCCCTGATGTAGCACACGCCACCCCACACCCACGCGAGGCGCAGGCTCCGTGTACTCGGGCGACTGAAGGCAACGCTAGGGGAAGGCAGACAACGTTTTCCTAAAAAGAAGGCGACGGCGGGGAGCGCGGGGGGCGGGGTGGGGGGAACCCTTTCCTTTAGAAAATAAATGAGCGGGCAGACGTGGGGGGAGGCAAGCAGCACATGGTAGGGAAAAGTTTTGGGAGCTTGTGTCCGCCGCCTCCTTGGGGGCTTCCTCCTCCCGAGGTGCTTCTCAGCCCCTTCCTGGGGCGCTCCGTCGAGACAGACACCCCACGCCCCTCGGGGGGGCCGCCAGCCGTAACCCCATGCAGCTGCCTCCATCTCAGTCCTAATTCAGCGACTGTAAAATAGGGGTGAAACCGCCGGAGTTACACCGACCCCGAGCGTCAACCTCCCTCGACGCTTTGGGATGCCGGGAAGGGAGGGGGGGCGCTGGGCTGGGAAATGGGGGAGTCTGCTGCTGGGGGGTGTCTGCCAGGAGCTGCTGCCCTCGACGAAAAAGCAGGAAAAGCGAGGACCGGGAAGGGGGACCCTAAAGGGGGGGGGGGGCAGAGATAGGGGGACGGGCTGGGGGAGCGATGGGACCGCCCCTGGGGTGCGGGGTGTGTCGGTTCTCGAAAGTGAAGCGCTCTGTGGAGCGCCAGAACTGCCCCTTCCTCACAAAGGAGGCTGCTGCCCCTCGGGGGTGCCGAAAAGGCAGGGCCGGGGGATTCCCTTGCCAGGCAAAAAGGGGGAAAAAAAACATTGCCGTTGACTTTTCTCTGGGGCTGCGGGAGGAGAGGTGACCTTTATTGATATGTCATTTGCTTTCCTTAGGCTGCCGAGTCCCCCTGGGGAACGCCTGGCGCTCCTTGGAAAGCCCAGGCAGGCTGCCTGCCCTTCCCTGCCTGCGGGGCAGCGGGGGACGCTCCTCCGCCACCCCAGGAGGGGAAACGGGGCCGGGGATGCCAGCGGAGTCCCCCCCTACACAGACACCTCCCCCCCCCCCTAATCGCTTTGGCCCGTCCCCGCCGCTGCCCTTCGCCGAGCCCCGTCCAAAGGAAGCCCCGTGCTGGTCCGGCATTTCCTCGGCCAGGTTCCAGCCATCCCCTCCTCCCTCCTGCCGCTACTCACGTGGGGAAAACTCGCAGGATTTGGCCCACGGCTGCTAAAAAAGGGGAAGGCAGGAGCCGGTCCCGCGGGGAGCCTCGGCTTCCTCCCCCGCCAAGGGTGCCCCCGCCTCCCACCCCCGCCCCCCCCGGAGTCGAACCGATGCTCCGGGCTCGGGTGGCCGTGGTGGGGGCTTCAGCGATGCTGCGAGGCAAAAAACCCGATAACAAATAATCCCCGGGTTTTAAAAGGGGCTGCTCGATGGTTTTATTGCACAGTAAAAACTTCTCCTCGCAAACTAGCCGTACGCCGATACGCGTATTTACGTACGTGTATTTTCTACACGCGCGTCCAAAAAGTGCCCCTCCTCCCTCCCCAAATTCTGGGCGCGTTGCTGGACCGAGCTCCCGGGGTGTGGAGGTTTGATGGGAGATGCTCTGGAGGTGAAGAGCAGCATCGCGGCTCCGCGGTACCCCGCGCACGCCTCCTCGTCCCGCTCTTGTTAAACGCAGCATGATATGTATCTGTCATCGATTTAATACGTCTTAATTCAAATATAACCCCCCGATCAATTTCTTTTTATGAGGGGCTATAAAACAAAGAAAATATTTTATAGCTGGGTAATAGGCAGCTGACCCGCGACTGTGGGAAGGGAGGGGTTGTCCCGAAACTCACGTGGAAATTCGCCCATTTTTAGGACTGGCCGCAAACGACGCGAAGCGAAGGTACCTGCGCTGGCCGGGGCAATTTTGGGCAGTGCCAGCTCCAAAATGGCCCTGAAGATTTGAAAGCCCATTAACTCACCGACCCCAGCTCAGGCCCAGGCTGCCGCAGCATTAGGGGGGGGGGGGGGGGGGGGGGGGTGGGTGTTTGGAGGGAGGTGGGCTGTGCCTCCCCCCCTCCATCCCCCCAAACACCCCGGCAGCGCCCGTCGGGGGTCGGCTCCGAGCCCCGCTCCCGCAGCGGGGCCGGCTGCAGGGCCCCCCCCGGGCCCCCCGCTGGCCGCCAAACCCGCCGAGGGGCAGCGGGGGAGGCTGCAGAGGCGGGGTGAACGCCTGGAAACCCCCGACGGTATTTCGTCAAGGCTCCTCTAAAAACCGAGCTCGGGCTAGCGGCTTTAGGAGGTGTTCAGCTGTCAAATGTTGCGCTGTAAGCTGCATTATGTAAATGTATGCTAATGATCATGAGCACCATTTACAAACAATCGTCTTTAATGCACGTCTTATTGATAGTTAGGGAGCGGGGAGCAATATTTTATAACGTGTAAAACCTTCTTCTGGGGAGCCATTAGAAAGCGAGCGCGGTTGCTGCTTTCCTCGGCGAGACCGTCCAATCTCCCCACATCTGCCAAAATAGTTTACCACCCGCCCGACCCGTCGCGGGTGGCTTTCTTCGCTCGTGGGGCTGCCTTGCGGCGTGAGGCAGCCTGCGGCGCGGTTCTCTCCGCGAACACGCGTGGCCGGCGATGGATTCCGCCTGCAGCAGGCGGGAGCGCCCCGAGTCACAGCCCCACGGGAAGTAACCCCAGTACCCCTCCTCGCTGTCCCGTCGTGGGGACGGCACGGAGGCGCCGGGACCCCGGGCGGGAGCGGGGGGGTCGTGGCTGCCCACGGACACGAAAGGGCGCTTTGGCGGTGGGGATCCCCACCCTCCTTTCTGAAGGGGTTCAGGGGATGGATATTTTATACCCTTCAAAATAAACTTCTCCTGCGCCGAATTAACGCCCGGTTCTGGTCGCCCCACGCACCCAAGCGGGAGCTCGAGGGCTGGGACATGGTCACGAGAGGGTGCCAGCACCGTGCCCGCCGTCGGTGCTGCCGCGACCGTGGGGGCTACCGCGGCCTTGGGGGCTGCCGGGGCTGGTACCCGCCGCACATTTGGGACGGGGACTTAAGGGGCAAAAGTTTCGGAGCTGCCGTTTTCAGTGGGCGCCTCGCCGGGGAAAGAGGGGTCTATCCGCGCACGTCCCCTTCGGGAATTTGCACAAATAGAGACAAATTAAGGACAAAAAAACCCAACCAACCAACCAACCAACCAAAAAAAAAAAAAAAAAAAAAAAGAAAAGAAAAAACAAAACAGAGAATCCATGCATTAATTCCTGTATATATGTTTATGCATAGAAAGAGAGGAAGAGATAAAGAGAGAGGCGGCCTCAGGAAACCCAGGCCAAATTTTGCTCTGCGCTCTCTCTCCCTGCTTCCCCTCTCCCTGTAGCTGAACGTCACCGTTGGAAGAAGCTGTTGAGATAAATCAAATAGTGACACTTTGACGGCTTTACTTGTATAAGCAATATGGTTACCATATGGCATTGTTATTTATGAATGACAGCATAAATTGTATTACAAAGTCCGTCGCGCTTTGTCGGGACGCTTCTCCCCTGCTTCTAACGTCTATACGGGCAGCTCCAGACGAACAAACGCGCGTCTCATAAAATTCGGAGGGCCGCGGCAGACCCCCTTTTTGGGGGCGTTGCGCCGTCTCTGCGCTGGCTGCGGGCTGAGGCGCGCAGCGGGGCAGGGCGCGGGGCGCGCAAGGTACGCGGCGTTGCGCGTCCCCCCGGCCGCGGCTGGGCAGGGGCACCGGCTGCGGCTCGGCCGAGGCTCCCGTCCTGGCAACCAGCTCCACGCTGCTCCTCGCCCACTCCGCCCCACGGCACCACCGCCGAGAGCGGGGCTGAACACGGCAACTCCTTACACGCACACACGCGCATATACATTTGTAAGTGCAACTGAGAAAAAAATAAATATTAATGGCACGAAAGGGAGGTGCTCCTTCTTGTTGCCCCCTCCCTGCCTAGTGTTTGAGGGTTTTTTTTATTGTTTTTGTTTTTATTTTTGCTTGTTTTGTGGTTTTGCTTCTTTGGTTTTTATTTGGTTGGGGTTTGGTTTTTTTTTTTTTTTTTTTTGCTTTTGTTTTTGTTTTGCTTTAGCTTTTGTTTTGTTTTGTTTTTTGTTTTGGTTTTTTGTTTTTCTATCTGGTTTTGGGTTTGGTTTTTTTCTTCTTTCTTTCTTTTTTTTTTTTTTTTTTTTTTTTTTTTTAAGGCATTTAAAAGTTACAGCTTTGGCTGAGATTTTCATTATTTCCCCTTTTTTCTTTTACATTACGCTGCCGGTAGAGCCTGACAAAGAACTTTTGTCCCGAAGTGTGTTTTACAGAGGGAGGCTACAGCACAACACATGTGGTCTTCACGGGTCATAGGTCGAACGGCCTAGAAATGGCTCGGATCGGCACCATCAAAGGTAACCTGCAACTTAATATCCTGTTGATGAGCTTGTTGAATTTATGAGTGTCTGTGATACAGACAACGGTGCAAGTGATTCTGCTCAATTTGGCCTCTTCTTCTCAGGCTCCGGACCGGCCGCACACCCACTCCCCGCCCCGCACCTTGCCCCGTTACTCTGGGGAGTAGAGAAGGTTGAATTTGGGGGGAAAGTCCCCCTTCTTCCCACCCTGCCCCGGCGAGGCTGCTGCCAGCCCCGTCCCCCCGTGGGCAGAGCCCTCGGCCCCGCCACAGCGTGTGCCCCCACTGCCACCCCCTCGGCTGACTGAGGGAGGGAGGCTATAAAGCGGGGAGCGGAGCATCCTCCCCATCACCCCCGACCCGGGGGTGGTGACACCTCCCGGGGAAAGGGGCTAGAAGGCGAGGAAGGTATAAAAAGTCCAGGGGAAGCAAGAAATTCCTCTCGTTTCCTCCCCCACCCCCCCCCCATCAAGCCGGTAAGAATAAGAGCAGAGCGGTTTGAAAGAAAATTTCGGAAAACTTACAAAAGAGGAAAATGCTTTCCCGGGAAGGCTGGCGTTCGCTCGGCAGGTCCGGCACCTCCGGAAACCTGTTGGAAAAAAACTTCTGTCAATAAACGAGTTTAGCACCGACTTTGGGTGACCGCTTGCTCTCCTCCCTCGGAAGCCGCCGGGAGCGGCGTTTCTGGCGGTGGCCCGGCAAGGGAGTGCGGGGCTGGCTGCCGGTGCCTCTGCCCCCCCGCAGCCCCCCCCCTTCCCCTGTCACCCGGTGACACGGGGGAAAGGGGTTTTGCGGTTCGGAGGGAAATAAAGCACTTCTTAAGGAGGGACGGCGACGTGACTTTGAACTTGGATCAGCTCCTCGGTTTCCTGCGGAGAGAGTAGGGCTGGAGCCCTGAAAGAATAGCGGAGCGCGGCCAGCCCGCGGGGGATCCGGCTGGAATTCATCGCGACACCCCCCTCCCCCCCAAAAACGCCCCGGTGCCGGCGCCGCTGAGCGGGCAGGGAGCGGGAGGAGGGCAGGAGAGTCAGGAAAGGGGAGGAGGGGGAAAAGAGAAAGGACTAAAGAGAAGAAAGGAGTGCGAGAGAAAGGAAAAGAAATAAAGGGAAGGAGGGAAAGGAGGGAGGGAGGAAAGGAGGGAAGGGAGGGAGGGAGGAAAGGAGGAAGGGAGGGAGGAAGGGAGGAAGGAGGAAGGGAGGAAGGGAGGAAGGGAGGAAGGGAGGAAGGGAGGAAGGGAGGAAGGGAGGAAGGGAGGAAGGGAAGGAAGGAAGGAAGGAAGGAAGGAAGGAAGGAAGGAAGGAAGGAAGGAAGGAAGGAAGGAAGGAAGGAAGGAAGGAAGGAAGGAAGGAAGGAAGGAAGGAAGGAAGGAAGGAAGGAAGGAAGGAAGGAAGGAAGGAAGGAAGGAAGGAAGGAAGGAAGGAAGGAAGGAAGGAAGGAAGGAAGGAAGGAAGGAAGGAAGGAAGGAAGGAAGGAAGGAAGGAAGGAAGGAAGGAAGGAAGGAAGGAAGGAAGGAAGGAAGGAAGGAAGGAAGGAAGGAAGGAAGGAAGGAAGGAAGGAAGGAAGGAAGGAAGGAAGGAAGGAAGGAAGGAAGGAAGGAAGGAAGGAAATTCACATTTCTTTGTTCTTTTTTTTTTTTTTTTTTTTTTCCAAAACAGTATTTATAGATGAACATTTTCCTGGATGGTTCTTTTTCTAAACTCAGATGTAGCAACTTATTTTATTTTTTTTTGAGGAAAAAAAAAAAAGTGTATTCAATGATCTCAATGATTTAGTTGTCAGTATGATTTTTTTTTCCCTAATCTGGAGGCAGACGTTGCAGGAGACCAAGCTTTCCTCTCCAGCTTAGGCTTTCTAAATCCCCAGCAGCGGTGGAGGACACTTCTTGGACCTCCACCTCATAAACCTTTCAGAGAAGGAAAATAGATTTTGGTTGCAGTCTGTCCCTGGGAGCCTGGGGGGTCAGGACAAGGACAGCATATGCTCCCAAGCTGCAGCCTGTGAAGGCAATATCTGGGGAGCAGATGCTCCTGCCTGCAGAGACAGGACCGAGCGGCGGCATGGTGAAGAGGAGAGGGCCATTGGCATCAGAGGGGCAGCCCTGCATTAATATTCAGTTTATCTTCTAATGCCCATTTCAGATTAGAAGGAATTCCACTTCCTCCCAAATGAAGTCCTCACCTTGTTCAAAGAATAATGTCCAGTACTGGCACATTTCAGCCACTTTTGGACAGGCTTGGAAATATTTTAACTATTTCACGATAGTAATGGGGAAAACCTTATTTAAACAACCCTAGCTGGTGGGCGGTGTTACTTTTTTTTTCCCTTCCTTCCTTCCTTCCTTCCTTCCTTCCTCCCTTCCTTCCTTCCTTCCTTCCTTCCTTCCTTCCTTCCTTCCTTCCTTCCTTCCTTCCTTCCTTCCTTCCTTCCTTCCTTCCTTCCTTCCTTCCTTCCTTCCTTCCTTCCTTCCTTCCTTCCTTCCTTCCTTCCTGGACGCTGGATCCAGGTTTGAGGGTGTCTGTGCCAGATGCGGGATTTTTCGCCATGAGGACTCACAGGAGAAATGTCGCAGGGAGAATTTCAAAAAGCCCCACCAGACCCCTCCAGCCCCTACATTTTGGGTTGCTTCATCCCAAAGCACAGAGCTGATGGCGATCGAGACGCCAGGTTAAGCGCAAGATAGATAAGACGACAAACGTTAGGTCGGGTTTTAATTTTTACAAAGCCTTATTTATTGGTGAGCTGCTGGCCCCGAGATGATTATTTTTCAGCCACTACAAAACAAACCGAAGCAGGGGCCAGACGCGTATTTACTGGAGGGGGAGGGGAAGGGGACTTGTTTGCTCTGTGTGTGGGTGCGGGTGTGTGTACTGGCTGTACGCGTTTTTATTCCTGCCATGTAAGAATCCGGTTTCCAAATAACAATGGCAGGGTGGGTTTTGGGGTTGGGTTTTTTCTTTCTTTGTTTTTTCTTTTTTTTTTTTTTTTTTTTTTTTTTTATATATATATATTTCTTTTACAAGAATGGGAAGAGACAAGGAAAACTCCTAAAGCATCTGCTCTCGGGTGTACATTCACAACACATGCAGGTCGACTCCTCTGCTCCTCACAAGTGGTTTAAAAGCCCAAACAGCCAGGGCGACCGTTCCCTCTTCTATTTTCATTTTGATTTGATTAGATTTTTTTTTTTTTTTTCCCCTGCCGCGGTCGCCCCGCCAACGTGACTTTTATTTCATTCCCCCCTCGCTCCCTTTATCGATCATGGGCTTCATTTGCTTTAGCTGAAAAGGGGGAAGGGGGCTGCAGGATGGGCGAGGTCATCCCTCCCTCTGTCACCACCTAAAAAAAAAATAAAAAAAAAAAAAAAAAAGAAGGCAGCTCACACACACACACACACACACACACAACCCCCCTGTTTATGTTTTAAGCCCCTCGCTTTGTTTATTTGCCTCCCGAGGCAGGATCGCATGGCCAAGCGCACATCGATATTTTCCGTGCGTGTGGCTCGCCGCGCCTTCTCCCCGCTCCGCACCACCCCTTCCCCTCGCCGCGGGGGGGAAAGATTGGGGCGGGGGGGGGGGGGCAGGGACACCCGGAGGGACACCCCGAAAAAACCCAAATGATTAAACAAAAAAAAAAACAAACAAAAAAAAAAAAACCCAACCAAACCAAGAGAGAAGCCGCCGGCGGTGCCGGGCTGAAGGGCGGCGAGCGGGGCGGGCGGCGGGGCGGGCAGGGCGCGGGGCGGCCGCGCCGCCATTACCCGGTGACCGGGGACGCCCGGATGGCCGGGGGGGGGGGGGGGGGGGGCTGGGGCCAATGAGCGGGAGCCGGGAGAGCGGCCGGGCGGCGGGGAAAGGCGGCGTTGGGAGGGGAGGCGGCAGTGCGGGCGGGGAGAGGGAGAGAGGCCGGGGGAGGGAGGGAGGGAGGGAGGGAGGGAGGGAGGGAGGGAGGGAGGGAGGGAGGGAGGGAGGGACGGTGGGAGGGAGGGAGGGAAGAAAAAGAGGGGGAGTGAAGGGGGGGGGGGGGGAGAAAAAATAAAAAGCCGCCGCCTCAGCAGCGCCCACCGAAATAAACAGAGGGAGCGAGAGGCAAGCGAGGGCGCGGGCGGAGCGGGGCTGCAACTCCGCCGCGCCGGCCGCGCCGCTCCGGCCCCGGCGCTCCGCGGCCCCTTCCCGCCCCCCGCCTCCCCTCCCCACCCCCCCACCGCCGCCCTTATTGTTTTTAATCCGCCTCCGGCACCCCCCTTCTTCCCCCTCCCCTCCCTACGCCCCTCCGCGGCGGCGGGCGGGGGCGGTGCGGCGCGGGGCACCCCTCCGGGTCCCTTCGCTCCGTGGGAACCCGCGGCTGCAAGTTTTTCTCCGTGAGAGACACCGCTAAATGCCCGGCGGAGGATAAAACGAGAGCAGGGGCCCGGGGGCGGCGGCGGGGGGGGGGGGGGGGTGGGCACCGAGGCGGCGGGGAGGGCCGCGGCCCACGCGGGGAGCGGCGCGGAGCCGGGCGGGCGGGGGTCGGCGGCGCTGACATCCCGGTGGTGGCGGGAGGGGAGGGGAAGGGGGGGGGGGGGGTGTGGATATGTGAGTGGCGGGGGGCGGCGGCGTGTGTGTGTGCGTGTGTGCGTGCGTGTGTGCCGCAGGGAACGGCGAGGCGAGCCTTGCCCCCCCCCCCCCCCCCCCTTCCCCGTCCCCATCCCCGTCCCTCCCCTGCTCCCCCCTCCCCTCCCCTGCCCGCCCCCGCCTCAGCTCCTTTAATACACTTTGGTTCTCCGCTCGCCTTTGGACTCTGCTCTGCCTGGCTCCGGATACGGCTCCGGCGGCAGCGGCGGCGGCAGCGGGCCGGTGCGGGCGGCGGCGGCGGGGGGACGCGGCGGCTGCCGGGGGGAAGCGGAGCGGAGCGGCGGCGGCGGCGGCCCCGCACCGGGCCGGGCGGGCGGCGGGCAGCCCGGCGGTAGCGGGGCGGCGGCGGCCCCGGAGCGGCGCGGACCATGCTGCTGGACGCCGGCCCGCAGTTCCCGGCCCTCGGCGTGGGCACCTTCGCCCGGCACCACCACTCGGCCGCGGCGGAGATGCAGGACCGGGAGCTGAGCCTGGCGGCGCAGAACAGCTTCGTGGACTCGGCGGCGGCGCACATGGGCGCCTTCAAGCTCAACGCCGGCGCCCACGACCTCTCCCCCGGGCAGAGCTCGGCGTTCACCTCGCAGGCTCCCGGCTACCCCGCCGCCGCCCTGGGGCCCCACGCAGCCCACGTCGGCTCCTACTCCGGGGCGCCCTTCAACTCCACCCGGGACTTCTTGTTTCGCAGCCGCGGCTTCGGGGACTCGTCGCCGGCCGGCGGGCAGCACGGCATCTTCGGCCCTGCGGCCGGCAGCCTGCACCACCCGCACACGGACGCTCAGAGCCACCTCCTCTTCCCGGGCATCCACGATCAGCACGGCCCCCACGCCTCCCAAAACGTCCTCAACGGGCAGATGCGCCTGGGCTTGCCGGGGGAGGTGTTCGCCCGGTCGGACCAGTACCGCCAGGTCTCCAGCCCCAGGACTGACCCCTACTCGGCGGCTCAGCTGCACAACCAGTACGGCCCCATGAATATGAATATGGGCATGAACATGGCAGCCCACCACCACCACCACCCAGGTGCCTTTTTCCGCTACATGCGGCAGCAGTGCATCAAGCAAGAGCTCATCTGCAAGTGGATCGACCCCGAGCAGCTGAACAACCCCAAAAAAAGTTGCAATAAAACTTTCAGCACCATGCACGAGTTGGTCACCCACGTCTCGGTGGAGCACGTTGGGGGACCCGAGCAGAGCAACCACGTCTGCTACTGGGAGGAGTGTCCCCGCGAAGGCAAGCCCTTCAAAGCGAAATACAAACTGGTCAATCATATCCGAGTGCACACGGGAGAGAAACCCTTCCCCTGCCCCTTCCCCGGCTGCGGAAAAGTTTTCGCCAGATCAGAAAACCTCAAAATTCACAAAAGGACGCACACAGGTAATTCGGATTTCTTTCGGCAGGTTTACCCCCTCTGCCCGTGCCTATAGATATAAAGATAGATATACAAACAAACAGATATAGACTCGGACAGAGAGATGTAAAATGATAAGAGGGATAAAATAAGGAACCCGTTTAATATTATTTTTTTTTCCCCGCTCCATCACTCGACTGCGTTTGTTTTGGTTTCTTTCCCACCAGCATCCCTCCCCCCCTTCCCCCCCCCCCCCCCCCCCCCGCCCCTCGCCCACATTTCGAAAGGATATTTTAGTGATTTATTTTAATTTGCGGGGTGAGCGATGTAGATTCGTGCCGAGGCTCGGCGGGGTCTTTCCGCAGAAACACAAAATGCAGCGCGAAATAAATTCTGCCGTCCTGCTAAAAGACGGGAAGACGTGTATATATAGAGAGATAGAGATAGATATACACGAAACGCCTGGTACATTTACAACGCTCAAAGTATTTGTATAGAACTTCAGCGCTTGTGGGCATGGCTTTCATGTATGGATACTGAGAAACTATATAAATACGTGCAAAATCCGTCATTAGTCTAAAATCCCGTTGGAAGTGGCAAAACGTCCCTTTCTGGGAATGCTTTCCATTAAATTTAAATGGTGTGAGCAAGGCAATAAAATTTTCTCATTTCCAAAAAAAAAAAACAAAAAACCCCAACCCAAAAAAGAAGTGTTTTTAAAGTCTCGCTCGAGGTGATTTAAGGTGCTTTTGCAACAGTTTATTAAATTATGTAATAGGGGATGGAGGATTTGAGGCTCGGAAACTTCCACCCAAACCAGGTGGAAGAGGGGTGAAGGAGCCCGGGCTTTCCCGATGGAAAATCGCCTGAGCCGAAGAGTAACAAAAATAAACGCATCCTCCCGCCTCATCTATTATTCATTTACTACTCCTGCCGGCTCGAACCGTGCCAGACTATTTCATAAAAGACGGCCAAATATTTTAGCGACTTCCACTCTAAATATTTACCCGGAGAAAGGCTAAAAATCTCGAGGCCTATTGTTTTCTCAAGTGCTAAGCCCGATGCGAGGTGCGAGACGAGCTTTAACAAGGTTTAAAATTTGAGAAATGTATTTGCATGAGATGCCCGCACTGAAGTCATTGTGTCTGAGCGGATGTCTTTAAGAAACAATTTAGGTGCTAATGGAATTTAATGTTAAATGCTTCCCCTTCCAAAGGCGGGGGGATGTGGAGTTCTCACCTCCAAATTACTCCCCGGCATTTGGAGTCCTGGCAGCCGGGCGAGAGGAATCCCTATGAAAATTAAATGAAGTATTTTACAGACGTTTAGTTTTCCCAGCGGATGTGCGTTTACCTCGAATCTCCATACACGAAACAATCTGCCCGGCCTTAAATCTGTCGGTAATGGTTTCCAGTTTAACAGGATAGCGGATTTGGTACCGAGGCGAAACGGCTCGATGCTGCTGCTGCCTTTTCTTTTTTTTTTTTTTTTTTTTTTTTTTTTTTAATCGCCTTTCTTCTTCAGTCTATTTCGGGGGCCGGCTGCGTGTCGGCACCGGTCGAAACAAAACCAAGCGGGATACCCCGGGCCGGGGGTGCCCTGGAAGGGGAAGGGGGGGGGTGTGCGTTGTGTGTGTTTAGTAGGAAAACCAGGCGGGGGGACGGGCGCTGCTGCCTCGCTGCAGGGCGAGGCGGGAGCGGCGCGGCCCTTCCACTTCGGGGCCGGGGCTAAATCGGCCTCTTGCTTTGGGAATCCGCTGGGAGAAGTGGCTGGGAACGGGAGGGGGGGCGGGAAAGGAGCGGGGAAAGGCCGAAGGATCCGGGCGCGGGGGCTGCGCGGGCTTTGCGCGGGGGCTTTGCGCGGGGGCTTTGCGCGGGGGCGGCCGCGCTCACCCCCCCCCCCCCGCCCCCCCCATCCGCCCGCTCTCTTGCAGGGGAGAAGCCCTTCCAGTGCGAGTTCGAAGGCTGCGACCGGCGTTTCGCCAACAGCAGCGACCGCAAGAAGCACATGCACGTCCACACCTCGGACAAGCCCTACCTGTGCAAGATGTGCGACAAGTCCTACACCCACCCCAGCTCCCTGCGGAAGCACATGAAGGTACCCGGCCCCGCAACCGGCGGCGGGGGGCGGGAGGGCGGCCGCACCGCCCCGGGCGCCCCGTCGGGGCGGCGGGCGGCGGGCGCGGGGCCCGGGGGCGGCGGCGGCGGCGGCGGGCCGGGCCGGCGGCGGGGGGTGCGCCCGGGGGGCGGCGGCGGCGGCCTCCCCGTCCCCCCTCCACCCGGCCGTCTTGCCTTTGCCCCCCAGGTGCACGAGTCGTCCCCGCAAGGCTCCGAGTCCTCCCCGGCCGCCAGCTCCGGTTACGAATCCTCCACCCCCCCGGGGCTGGTGTCCCCCAGCGCCGAGTCGCAGAGCACCAGCAACCTCTCCCCGGCGGCGGCGGCGGCGGCGGCGGCGGCGGCGGCGGCGGCGGCGGCGGCCGTGTCCGCGGTGCACCGGGGCGGCGGCGGCGGCGGCGGCGGCGGCGGCGGCGGCAGCGGCGGCGGCGGCGGCGGCGGCGGCCACAGCGGGCTCTCCTCCAACTTCAACGAGTGGTACGTGTAGGGCCCCGCCGCGCCGCGGACTGCTCTGCACGGCCCCGCCGAGCCCTCCCCGCCCCGCCCCGGCGGCGGCGGCGGCGGGCAGGAGGGAGCGGGCCCGCCGGAGACGCGCCGGGAGACGCTGCCGCACCCGCGGGCAGCGGAACGACGGGGCCGAGGAGGATGGGGACGGGGGCACGGGGACTTGGTCTCCCCACACACCCATCCCTCCTGCCTTCGGGTCTTTTTTTTTTGGTGGATTTTCTTTTTTTTTTTTTTTGTGGACATTTTGAACCAGCAAAAAAAAAAAAAAAAAAAAGAAAGATTTTTTTTTTTTTTTTCTATAAAAGTACATGCTGAAAAAGTAAGAGAATGAGTAAATAAATAGAGGAATGGAAAAGAGAGAGAGAGAGAGAGAGAAAGGGGAAAAACCAACCCCAAATGCCACCAACACACCACTCAGCAAAAAGCTTCTCAAGCCGGCGGAAAGAAACTCTCCCTCTGGAACCTCAAGACAAAAGATCAGAGACTGAAACTCCTCCGGCCCCTGCGCCTCCCCGCCCGGAGCAGCCAGCGCCCTCCCGCCCCACGAACTGTGTACATAGCGGCCCTCTCCTTCCTCCGGCGAGGTGGGGAGCGAAGTTTTCCTGGATTCTTGGTGTATAGAAGTTCGTCCCGTTTGTAAACCGCGGATTGGTCCCCTTCTTCTTTTTTCTGTCTTTTTTTTTTTTTTTTGGCCGTCTTTCTTTCTTTCTTTCTTTTTTTTTTTTTTTTTTTCCTCTTCCTCCCTCCCCGAGAAAGTGATGGACTTGTTTTCTTTTCTCCCGCTCCCCCTCCCCACCTCCCTCTCTCCTCCTTTTTTAGTTCACCCCTTTGAAAAAAGTAACGTGGAAGAAAAAAATGGTTTCTTTTGTAATTGTGATATCTTGAATATTGTGTTCCTTTTTAAGAGGCAACTTGATTGTAAACTGCATTTCAACTATAGACTGGGGAAGAAATACCGTGCCAAAGTCTCCATTCTGTTACTCACAGACACACACACGAACAACAACGCTTGTGAATGTATTTTTTCTGTTAGCTGGGTTTACATGTGATGTTTTAGTGCTTTTGCAAGTTCGATTTGTTAGTTCCTATTCGGAAGATTGTGAGGAAAAATAAACGTCGTGCCGTTAGCTTTTCCGTAATAACACCCTTCCTCCTGTAAATACCTGTTACCATATTTATCCATTTGTAATTAAATTATGGTATTAACTTGCTACAGAGGAAACAGTATTTATAAAGAATGTTTCTTAACTATAAATATGTACAATTGTGAGCATAAACTGTTTCAGATTTTTTATTTGAAGGTTTAAGTGGTTTCATCATTTCTTGTGATATGTTTTGAGAGTAATGCATACAGAAATATAATAAAACGTGTTGAAACTGCACGAGCTGTTGCCTTTTTATGCCAAGGGCTCTCTGAAACCTGTGAGGGACTGAGCACTGGCTACAAAACAAATGCTTTCAAAAAATCCGCCGCTTTCTGGAGCACGAGGATTTCATCCAGCCAGGCTCCCCGTCTAGAAAAAAAAAAGGGGAAAAAAAAAAAAAAAAAAAAAAGAAAAAAGCCACCACCATCAAAAAAATCCCCCCCCCCCCCCCCCCCCCCCCCAAACCCACACCACATTTTGGGAAGGCTCTGAGATGAGAGGAAAGGGGTGAGCGTTTGCATCTTCCCCACATGACTCGCAACGCAGGATCTCCCTTTAGGAAGAGCTTAGCACGGCAAGAGCGCAGCTTCCCTCGCCTTCTGCCTCACCCGGGCTTGCCCCGCTCCCCCCGAGCCCGGCCGGCGGGGGGACCCCGGCGCCCCGCGGGGTGACAAAGCCGGGAGCCCCGGGACGGAGCCGGGGGGGCAGCGGTCGGGCGCTGAGCTCTGTGTAGGGCTGCTCTGAGCCGTAAACCGTATTTTTGGTAGCCTCCAGCCAGCCCTGGAGAGGAGAAAGTGGCGATGCCCCAGAGCTCACATTTCCCTTCTAGCTTTTTTTTTTTTTTTAATCTCTTTCTTTCTGTTTTGTTTTTTTTTTGTTGTTGTTGTTGTTTGTTTGTTTGTTTGTTTTTTGTTGTGTTTTTTTTTTAATTATTTTTTTGTTTTGTTTGTGGTTTTGTTTTTTTTTTTTTTTTAATTTCTTTTTTAGCTCAGGGAAAGCTTTGGGCTGTCAGATGTGTTGAACGAGGGATCGAGAACCGCCGGGCGATGCCTTTACCGGGGTGCTGGCCCAGCGCTTCAGCTCCGCGGGCGCCGGTTGGGGACGGGAGGCAGCGGCTCTCCGGTCTCACCCCGCCGCACCGGGACACCCCAGGCGAGTGTGACAGCGGCCGGGAAATCGTGGAAAAAACTCGGCCTTGCCAAACCACCGAAATACTAAGAGGCAGCGCTGTGAGCCGGGCTCCGAGCGCCCTGCGGTGGCTGCGCTGCCTTCAGTGGCAACCTGTGCAAGCAAGGAGAGCCCTTTGCTCCTCAAGCCCGGCCGGCCCCATCGCAGCCCCCCCCCCCCTCTCCGAGCCACACGTCGGTTTGGGTTTTTCGGGCTTTGTCCCCCGAGTTCGAACAGCAAGAGAGATGTCCCGAGCCGCTGTGGGGGAGATAGGTGGGGAGATGAGGGTACGCAGGGCCCTGCTCGCTTCTGGGGTGAGGTGGGGGGGTTACCTACACACAGGGGGGAAGGGAGGAGGGAGGGAAAGACACCCCCCCCCCCCCTCCCGAAACGAAGTTTGTCTGCGGAGCGGAGACGGAGCGTCCTCTGCGGCCGCGCCGCCCCCAGCGCGGCCATCCCCGCGCACACGGCGGGCTCCCCCGGTAATCAAACGGCCATTAAAAGCTAATTTATGTTCGGTAATAATATTACGCCAAAAAAATATTTATTAAAATCATTGGCATATGCCGTCTGCCCCTTGGAGAGATCCGTGGGAAACGCAGCTGCGAGGATCCCTCTTTGTCCTGCCGGCCTCCCCGCAGACGAAAAAACCAAACGGGGGTCCCGCTTCAGAGCCCGGCGTGTGCTGCCCACCCCTGTCAGCCACGGCTGCCCAAATCCCCTCCCGGGTCCAGGGGGGAGAGAGGGGAGGGCCCGGGCAGCCCTGCCCACGGGCGGCGAACCCCGCTTCGGGGTCCCCCCCCCACCACCCTGGCAGGCTCTGCCCCGGCCGGTGAGAAGCGCCCCGAATCTGGGCTCCCCACTTCTCCCTCCCCTCGGAGCCGTTTTGGCTTTGGGGGACTCCCAGGGGTGACCCCCCCCCTCCCCCGATAGCGGGGATGCGCAGAGCAGGCAGCCCCCCCCGGCCCACGGCACAGGCCGTGTGGCAGCAGGGGCAGCCCCGCTCCTTTCGGGTGGGGATGCTTCTCCTCCGCCAGGCCCGGGGAAGGGGCCGCGGCGTCCGTGGCCGTGACCAAGCCCCCCCCCCCCCCCCCCCCCCTTTCCTGTCCTCCCCTGGCTAGCCCTGAACTTGACCCTGGCCTTGGCGAATCCAGCCCGCAGCCCCTCTCCGCCCGCCTCCCCCGGGCCCTGACCCCGGCCCGGCCCTGCCACGCTTAAGGGAGAGCGGTAATTCATCGGGTTCAGGAGTTGGGTTTTTTTTTGGGGGGGGGAGGGCAGCCAAGACCCGCCTCGCAGCCTTGTGCGCGGGTGGCCTGGGCTCAGGGACCCCTGGCCCTGGAGTCCTCCTCTGCGCCCCTCCTGTTCCCTCTCCTTCCTTCACCTCCCCCCTTTCACCCCAACTCCCCTCCCCCCCCCCCCCCCACCCCCCCCACCCCGTCTCTCTCCCTTCGCCTCCCACACCAAGACCGAGCTTTCCAAATCTCCCTGCCCCCGGCCCTGAAGGCAACCTGGGCACCAACCTGCAGGGAGGCCGGGGGCTCCCCTAGCAGCCCCGACCACCCCCCGACACCCCCCTCAATGCCCAGCCGCAGCGGATGGCGTGCCCTGGCCGCCCCGACGGCGCTGCCCCGACGGCTCCCGGGTCGGCCCGGCCCCACGCACCCCGCCGCCCGTGGGCAGTGGGGGGGGGGGGGGCACGGCGTTGCCCTCCCGCCGGCACCCCCGTGCCCGGCTGCGGCAGCCCCACTTGGCCGGCTCTCCTCCGGCGGCGTGACTCTTCGTTTACCGTGAAACACAGCACGGAGAGGTGGTTTTTAATTTTTATTATCACTATTATCATTAATCATAAAATTCTCTCCTAACTCTGCCTGGAGACCCCCTGAAAAGACGGAGTGTTTTCCCTGGGAACTGCTCTCTCCTCATGCGCTCCTCCCAAGCCAAAGGAAAACCTGAGGCTCCGTCCACAAAACAAGTTGTGCTCTGCCCCACGCACCCGCAATGGGAGGGCAGCTCGCCGCCCAGGGCTCTGCCCTGCCTTTACCTGCCCCCGCCGCCTGCACCGAACGAAACGCTCTTCACCTGGTCTGGCTGCTCTAGTGCTTTTGTGTTGTAGTAGCAGTGGTGGCAAAAAAAAAAAAAAAAAAAAAAAAGCAAACAAACCCACCAAAAGCGATCTCCCACCAAACAACCAGAGATGACAACAGCCCAAACCGAAATAAAATAATCAAATAAAATACGGCAGCTCTGGCCCGAAGGCGAGCGCGGAGCTGCTGCCGAGCCCGGCGAGGCCGCTGTCGGTGCCGGTACCGGGGGGGGCTCCGCAGCGGGCAAGGGGCTGCCCCTGCCCGGCCAAGCCCCCGCCGCGGGCAGCCGGGGCCGCTTGGCTCTGGCCAGACCTCCCCAAACCCCTAACAGCCTTTTAAGTTGCCCCTTTGTTTTCAGAAAGTCGGACACGTTTCCTGCCCGCTATGAAGACATAACAGGCTCCCCCAAACCTCTCCCCAGCCACACGTGCACACTAGACGTGCTGCCGGGCACAGCGAGGTACGTAGATTTTTCATCTCCATGCATGGTTGGGGTTTTTGGTTGGGGTTTTTGAATCTCGTGGGTCGCTTTTCCTCCCCCTGTCCCTTCTTTTTTTGCTTTTTTCTTCCATCTATTTTTTTTTTTTTTTCCCCCTGAGCCAGACGGCCGGGGAAAGAGCCGCATTTTACCAGCAGAGCAAGCAAAAACTATTGTCCCACCCCGCAGGGCAAGGTGGCCCCCTCCCTCCCAAAGTGCCATTCCTCCCCAGAGCGTTGGGGTTTCTCCCTTTTTCTTTCTTTTCTTTCTTTTTTTTTTTTTTTTTTTTTTTTTTTTTTTTTGGCCCCGATCAGGCTGGAGGGTTTCTCTGCGTTTCGTACTTGAGGGAAAAGAAAAGAAGAAAAGAAAAAAGAAGACCGGGGGAGGGAGGACCTTCGTCAGAGGTTTCATGTCTTTATTTAATAATACTTCAAAGTGGCTGCCCTACTGTTGTCCCGAGGAGAGGAAGCGCGGCAGCAAACGGACCACCGATCCCACTTCCTCGCAGGGCAGGAAACACGAGCAGGTTCCCCCGCGTCCCTCGCCCGTGGCAGCCAGCGCTTTCCAGCGACGCCCGCGGGTGGAAGTGGAGGGGCCGAGCGGCGGGACCCGGCGCCGGGCGAGCGCTTCTGCGGCCGCCCCCACGCCGCGCCGCCGCCCCACGCGCGGGAGCCAGCTGTTGCGTCCCGGAGGGGGAAGGACGCTCTTTTGGTGTTAAAAACCAAAATAATCGGCAACTGGAGAGGGGGGAGGGGGTGGGAAGTAACTCAAGCGCCAGTACGGTGATTGAGCGGGTGTTTTACACGCGCGGAACCGCGCCTCTCAGCGGGCTGGGGGCAGCCGTGGGGGCTG